TAAATTTTTCCTATTTCAATTGCATAAAAATGAAGTTATGTGATATTTACTTTTTCATATTAATGGCACCAATTCATCTTTTTCTTTTCCCTAATTTATATGTAATCTTTGGGAACCTATAAAAACTACACTCACTGTTTTTGCTATTATAAATACGCAACATGTATTTGCACACATTTTTGATAAAACTTATGCGTAAAAATATTTTGTCCAATATTCCAATTTTGTCATATTTCGCCGCTACGCATGCTGGCATCGTTTCAATGTACCCCTACCATGGTCACGCACGGAGCGATAACTGTGTAAAAATAAAATTGTTGTTTTTCATATTTTTCTTACTAGTTCATTATGTTTTCTCACTTTTTAAACCTTCTTTCGACCTTTCAAAACTTTTCAAAATTAAACTTAGCCAAATCGATCCTGTCGTTCCCCAGTTGTTGTAAGAAAGTAAAAAAAGTATAGATTAAATGACCTACAACTGTAGAGCTGGAGTCTTATAAAAATCGTTTTTTTTTTACAATTAACAAAATAAGAGTCATTCATCCAGACAAAAAATATCCTATCACTTAAGTTGGTCCAAACACTACACTTTCACAACATTTCATTGAAATCGATTCAGCAGCTATTATAAAAAGTTTCGAAATCTAATAACTTCATTAGCGAGTATTCTCTCATCTAGGAGTGATAACAGCTTGCAAACGACGAAACTTGCTTTCGGTTTTTGGATCACATTCTGCAGAAGATTGTTCTATTCATGGTTTGGAACTCAACATGTTCTATGGGATTGATATCTGAACTGCGAGCAGACCATACAAATCGTGTAAATTTAACTTAAAGATCAGTAAGTATCCGAGCGGTGTGGGGTCGTGCATTATTATGCATAAATGTTTACGCAGGATAATAATAACACTATTATTATTTAATTAGAAAAGTAAGTTTTATTTACAAGTAAAAGTATAACAGTGTAATGACAAGTGACAAGTAAGTCATAAGACATCAACAATGTAAAATGTGCTGCCAACATACATATAATAATTATATTACTGAATTGTACAGCAACACCCCCTCTCAATTCTACAAAAGTACAAATGAATAAGTACAAACTGCAAACAAAATTACAATACACTAATAAACTGTAAAATTAAACATTAGTTTTAGAAACATTCAAACAATTTCTCAATAATTCAAATTGAGTAACAGGCAATGCCTTGGTCATAATATCAGCTAACTGTTTGTTTGTAGGAACATACTCAATAACAAAATTTCCTTTATTTACCATATCTTTTACAAAATGATGTTTTACATCAATATGTTTTGAGCGTTTGGTCTCATAAGTTTGAGCCATCTTTATACAACCTTGGTTGTCCTCAAAAATTTTAATAGGATATTGAAAATCAAACATTTCTTTTAAAAGTTGACCTAAAAACAAACACTCAGTCATACAAGCAGACAGAGCCAAATATTCAGCTTCACTGCTACTAAGAGCAACTACAGATTGTTTTTTAGAACACCAGTTTACAACTTTATTATTACAAAGAATAACATATCCAGAAACACTCTTTCTGTCATTAGCATCACTAGCAAAATCTGAGTCAGCATATGCATGAACAGAAACTTGATCATTTTTAGTAAATTTATTGTATATTAATCCCAACTCATTAGTATAGCTCAAATAACGAATTACATTTTTAAGATGCTTCCAATGATTACTATTAAAATTATTTTGAAATCTTCCAAAAAATGAAACTGTAAAACACAAATCTGGCCTAGTGCCAAGCATCAAATACATTAAACTACCAAGTACCTCCTTATAAGGGACTTTAAAATCAATTTGAGTTTCCTTTTCTAAATTCAATTTAGGTTCCATTGGAATTTTACTAGTCTTGCAATTGACCATGTTAAAACGATTAACAATTTTTGTAATTAAAGTTTTCTGGCTAACAACTAAAGTCTTATCTTTCCTTTTAATCTCTAATCCTAAAAAGACAATTTTTGTTTCATTTGATAAATCACTTAATTCTAAAATTTTCTCTAAATTTGATTTTAAAAATTTGACATCATCTTTAGAAATTGAAATAACAAAAATATCATCTACCCATATCAAAACATAGGTTTTTCCATTGAAATACAAGCAAGGATCAACCTTAGATCTTTTAAATCCTAAATTACATAAATGCCTATTAATAGTTGTATTCCAACATTTAGGGCTTTCTCGTAAACCATATAAAGCTTTTATCAACTTACATACTACACCAGGTTTAACACAAAGACCATCCGGTGGCTTTATAAACACATCACTAGAGACTGAACTTTTCAAAAAGGCACTTTTCACATCAAGTTGATGAATATCCATATCACGATCAACAGCAATAGATAACAGTACCCTCAGGGTGGTTAATCTAGCTACTGGTGCATATACGTCTTCGTTGTCTAATACTGGCTGCTGATAGCCTCTGGCCACTAATCGAGCTCTTTTCACCAACTGACCATCAACATTTTTCTCAACAAAAACCCATCGTGAATCAATGATTACATCATCAGCCTTAGGTTCTACCAAAGTCCAGGTATTGTTGCTTTCTAACGCCAAAAGTTCTTTATCTATGGCCTCCTTCCATCCATTCCCCATCGAAACAGCTTCAGTATAGTTTTTAGGTAATTCAGAAGGTAGACAGCCAGCAGATAAAGCCATCATCATACTCACTTCATAGTCATCAAGATAAGAAGGCATACGTCTATCTCTTGCACTTCTACGTATCTCATGCTCTTGATTACTATCAGGTGGTATTACTTCAGGTTTAATTTTAATAGGTTCAGTAATAAATTGCTCATCCACATCTCTGTGTCTCATCACATGAACTGGAGATTCACTTTCATAAGTTTCATCAAATCTAACTGAACTCACAGGAAATCTACAAGAGTGTCCCATCCGCTTGTGCCACAACTCAGGTGTATCTCGAACAATATTAACCACATCTGAATACAATTGCAATTCTATAAAATATAAGTTACCAATCAATTTTCCAGTAATAATTGCAGTATCACCCATCATGATTTTTACTTCCTTATTTTCAAAAATCACACTAAAACCTTTTTCTTCAATTTGTCTTACTGATAATAAATTGTAAGAAAGATTGTCACAAACAAGAACATCATTCAAAGCAACTGAAACTCCTTCTTTAGATATAGCTGAGAAACTACCTTGAAATTTTGCTGCTACAGTTTCACCAACTTTTGCTACATTTATTTGTCTATCTACTGCTATGGAATTAGTCAAAAATTGAATGTATTTTGACATAAACAGGTGATTTGTACAACCACTATCCACAACAAGATGTACAGTATTCATTACATTTGAATCACAGCTGACTGCAACTTCCTGTTTTGTGTGACTACCAAGAAATGCAATTTCTTTATTTTCAATATTACTCATATTAGCAGTTTCACGATTTTTTGACAATCTTTTTGGACATTTTGAGCGAATATGCCCCATTTCATGACAATGATAACAACGAACTTTAAAAGTATGTTTGCTCTTACCTTTGTATTTATCCTGACCAACAAAGGCATGTGAAGGAACAGGTACACTAGTAACTTCCTTTGTTTTTAAACGATCATCTTCTGCCATTAAACTGTTTTTCACAAAATCTACAGTAACTTTGCATGGATCAGAACGAAATAAAATATCAATAGATGTTACAACTGAACTAAATCTGTCAGGCATTGCAGATAAAAGTGTGGTTATCTTTTCACTATCATCTATTTTACCTCCTGCATCATTTAATTCCCTTAAGGTTTTATCAAAATCCACCAAAAACTCACCCAAATTGCCATCTTCTTTAAGAACTAAGTTGCGCAACTTTTTCTGGATTTGTACTCGAGACTGAAGTCCTGTCTTTTCATAAACAGCTTTAAGAGCTTCCATCATTCCCATTGAAGTATCTTGGGTTTTAATTATCTCCAAAACATTATCCCCAACTAACTGAACAATAATATCTTTTGCAGTCGAATCACTTTTAACAAAGTCTTTGTACTTATCGTCAGTCCTAGCAGGTTTGTCTTGAGAAATGACATCAAGAACACCATGTCGTTCCAATGTTCTTTCCAATCGAAATTTCCACGAATCAAAACCGGCTCCATTAAATTGTTTTACATTAGCCATAAAAAATTGATTGCTGGAGGAAGCCATAACTAAATGAAACACGTGCAAAAATTGTAAACACAATTTTTCTGCAAACTACACTCTTTAGCAGAACAAATTTTACTTTGATTAAAATACAAACTTAAAAAACGCTTTTCTAAATTTCTGCAGCTGGGCACATAACCTGTTTACGCAGGATAATAATAACACTATTATTATTTAATTAGAAAAGTAAGTTTTATTTACAAGTAAAAGTGTAACAGTGTAATGACAAGTGACAAGTAAGTCATAAGACATCAACAATGTAAAATGTGCTGCCAACATACATATAATAATTATATTACTGAATTGTACAGCAACATGTCGTATCCAAGAATAATCATAAACGCTAAAATATGATATTCTAAAACCTGTGTCAGGTACATATGTGAAGTCAATGTTCCATTCTCGATAAAGACTAACTCCATGCGATCGTCAAACGATATGCCTCGTCATGCCTCAACAGACCCTTCACCAAATGAAAGTTAAATTACGGAGTGACTTTAATTTTATATTCGATAGTATATATGTAATAACTCAAAGTTATTTAAAAACTAAACATCAACATAAATGTAAATACTATCATTTTGGTTACATAATTATAAGATATCATTTTTGGTAAAAAAATTCTGCCCAGAATTGTTTGCAAGGATTTTGAATTAACTATATTTTTTTCTTAATTATTCAGAAATGAACCATTAATATTGAAGCTCTATATTCGCTACAAAAATATTAAAATTGACTGATTGTCCAGGTGCTTTTTATTTTAAATTTAAATATGTAGTTATAAACCTGTAGAATTCCTAATTCATTTTATTTTTAGCAATCCTTTTATACAGAACTGGAAGAAATTATCAAAAGAAAAACCTCAAGATTCTTCATGCAATATTAAATTGCCTGGCGTTCATTTTAGCAGTCATCGCCCTCAAAGCCGTTTTCGACTCGCATAATTTACAAAATACTCCGAATCTGTACACGCTGCATTCTTGGATTGGATTGGCCACTGTCATAATTTTTGCTGCACAAGTGAGTATACATATGTCTATTTTTCTTGTTTTAGAATTTTATTATTTATTAAGATCTATTAAAGAATATATATCATAAATAAAAAACTTACAGGACAGGTGAGAGTTTACTTACACTACTAAATAACGATGGTATAAAATGCCAGAAGAGAACATCAAAATAATTTGATATAAAGTTGAATGCTCGAATAAATGAATTTTAATCAAATAAAAGGCAGAAATCGAGCACACTTTTTATTAAATCTTGCCCAAGTACTTTCGCTCCTAGAGCATCTTCAGAAGCATCTGAAATAAGCCAAGAAACGTTTTTCCAACTGAAGAAAAATTAATTAACTTCGAAAAAACTCGAGGTTGATGGTTGATAAAAAATTTATGTAATATAACATTTTAGACTTACTTCGTCAAAATTAGGCTATCCAATAATATATGGTGAATGTCATAAACATTAACTGATACATTTACGCAACACGAGACAGAGGGCAACCAGTTTAAAATTATTATAAATTCGATGAAGCTATATATCGGGTGACATCAGAAGAGAGAATGCCTCCTGGTCTTAACGGAAATGTTAAAGTGACATCTGACATATGACAATTTGGATGGGCAGTCACAATCATGGTGATTGATCTGCACATTTCATATGAAACTGAACATTGACCAAAGGGCCAACTCACACTACTATAAATGTCATTTAAACATATCCGTTAAGAAAAGAAGCCATTCTCTCTCCTGATGTCACTAAATATGTAGCTTCTTCGAATATATAGTAATTTTAAACTGTTTGTCCTTTGTCTCGTGTTGTGTAAATGTATAAGTTAATGTTTATGACATTCACCATATATTGATGGATAGGCTAATTTTTACGAAGTAAGTCTAAAACGTTATATTACAAATTTTTTTTTATCAACCATCAACTTCAAGTTTTTTCGAAGTTAATTAATTTTTCTTCAGTTGAAAAAACGTTTCTTGGCTTATTTCAGATGCCCCTGAAGATGTTCTAGGAGCGAAAGTACTTGGTCAAAATTTTAATAAAAAACGGTGCTCGATATCTGCCTTTTGTTTGATTAAAATTCATCAAAATAATTGGAAAAATTATTAAAGACCAAATTTGACAGCTATGAAGAATTCCATTTTTCAAACATATGATATAAAAAGTATCAGAAAAAGCTAGCTAAAAGATCCGAAGAAATTAGAAAAAACGGACGATATATAAAAAATGAGAAGGCGTGAGGATATGCTCTAATGATTTAGAAAAAGCACTAAAAGAGAAATATATGAAGAAGTGGAATTTCTATCTTTACTCTATTTACCGCTGCTCTGAAGAGTTTTATTGAACTGCATTTAAACCACTCCTTTAAAATGTTCAACCATGACACTCTCCTTCCTCCTCTTATCTTTCCCTGTATTATCAATCTTAGCATTTCATATTGCTTTAGACTCATTAGGTGTTTCAGATATTGTAACTTTTTTATTTTTATTTTGATTATTATTTCGTATTCTGTATCTATGCCCTTCTAAGCATCCTTCTGTAATACCACATTTGAAATGACTGTAGCTTATTTGTGTGTTCTTGTTTCAGCGTAAAAATTTCAAGTCCAGATTTTATAGCTATCTTTTGGTATTTTAGTCACAATTTTTATTAAGTTTGGGGCACCCTCACTACTTGAATTATAGTGATTTTGGAACTGTTTAAATACCCTGTTTAAAATATAAAAAAAAATTATATTTTAAATAAATGTAAGAAGTTTAACAAATTTTATTACTTTGTTCCTAGCGCTATAAAAAAGAGGCCTAAATGTTCTTTGTTCCCAAAAAATGACGGTTGCTCTCAAATTTCTAACAAAGCAGCCATCAAGTAATGTGCATGTTTCGGTACTTATTTAAGGAATATTTAAGGAATACTTATCTATAAAGATACAAAATCTAAAGTACCGTTACCTTCTCATAAAAGACTGTATCGGCACCTCTTGTACCAAACAGATTACAATAATACCTATATAAAATATGAGATTTTAGGTATACTTTCAAAACATCTGCGATAATTGCAAAGAGTTTTTAAAATTAATCTTAAAGTAATATATAATAATTAGTTACTAATCTAATTATAAAAAAAATATTACAAGTGGTTGTTTCGATTATCTTTGCAGCCGTATTATCTACTACTACTAGCCGTACTAGCAAAATTGGAGACTAATAAATAGGAAACTATCTAATCGATTATCTAATTAAGAGCTTTCATTTGACAGATATGTTGACATTGAGGAGTCGACAATATTTACTTTACTGTAGGTATACTATAATTTTATGGACCACCAGGTTTAACTGTTTGCTGTTTGTCTAATTACTTTCTATTAGTTTTTAGCCGGATTCCTCACCTTCTTATATCCAGGATTATCACCAACCTTAAGAACGACTATTCTACCCATTCATGTAATATTCGGAACGAGTTGCTTTATAGGAGTAATAGTTGCATCAGTAAGCGGACTCTTAGAAAAAGCAATATGGGCCGTTAAGGATTACCAAAACTACGGCACAGAAGGAATATATATAAATATTATAGGAACATTTATCATTCTTTATGGTATTTTGGTGCTTTATTTGGTAAACAATGTAGATTATAAAAGAGTGGCTTTGGCTGATGATCAAATGCCACTGGAAAGATCCGAATAATCGTCTTAAGTTATTAAAAAAAGTGGAAGTGCAAAATCATCAAAGTAATAGTAGTTATTAAATAAATAACTAATTTGTTATTAACTGATTGAGCCTATAACTAGTAGAAATATTAATTTTAAAAAGCATTTTCATGTTCATTAAGAGTATTAATCGATCAAGTTATCTATTCCTTTAGATATCGCAATGTAAAGATCTAACAGTGATATGGGAGTGTTACACTAACGCAAATTGCTGTTTTGTAACTGCTAAACTCGTATCACAATTTTGAAAACTGCTCCAATTAAAAAAGTTTCTGCTATATTTCATCGCAATTGACGCAAAATATTTAATGTGATTGAGACACTGAAAAATGACTGACTGAAAACAACTGTCTGTGCTCGTCCAGCGCCTTGCTATCTTTGATACTATTTCTGAACAGCTTGTTTTGTTCCAATGAGTAACTCTTTGTTATCCCTATGAGTAACTCTTTGTGCTTTGCCGCCAAGTTCTTTAAAATTTGTTGTTCTCTGGAAGTAACTGAAATTTTTCTGCCACACCGAACCGACGTAACAGAACGTTTATCTTTATGTTTTTTACCCAACCTTCAAACTGACGATTGAGATATTACTCAATTTCGTGCTATTTCTCTTTGATTATACGTGTGTAATGACAGTACTATTACAAAAATGCAAGGAATATAATAAAAACGTATTCATATGTTATATAGATTTCCAAAAAGCGTTTGACGTAGTTTAACATGGTAAACTCATAAATGCATGAAAACACATTGACCCAGGGCCCTGATTCTAATTGAGATTTCGACTCAAAACATATCGAAATTAATATGGCGACGTCAAAATGCGACTTTGCGAGCCAAGTGGATTTCAGCTGAACTAACCAAAGGACGTCACTAATTTTCGATTTATCGAAAGTAATTTCAACTTCAAGAAAGTGGTTGAAATTTTATTTCGAGTCGAAATTAATGTGTCATGACTGGCTGGACTGGGAGAAGTGAGATTAGGTTCAGTTTAGGCGGTGTTGTTTTGTTTGATTCTTGCAAGGAAAACTGAGGCAAAAAGTATTAATATGGCTGCGTTTTATGAGAAATTGTATGTGATTCGGCACATAATTGGTCGAAATTTTGACACCTATAAAAATAGAACTGCAGTACCTGGGGGCCCAAGCCAAATGCTAATGATTATCTTTTAAAATACTGTGGTGCAAAAATTAAAGAAATAAAATGTCCCAATATTAAAACTAAATTGGAAACCACAATTTTTGAACATATTCAACAGACCGTAATGGAAGATAGAAATAATAAATAATTTGGTTGTAATAATGTATTTGTTCTTTTTATAAATTATGTGTTTGATTGCCATGCTCTTGAAATTCTACTCTCTTATTTGGAGATATAAAATAATCTTTAAACTCATCACGAATTTTTAGAGCGGTTATGTATTGTTTTTAGTAATACATCTCATACTTTCAGTAGTTCCGATGCTATTTTATCCAATCCCTGTGATTTATTGTTTTTCAATTTGGCTACTGCTGTTCTAATCTTGGTTATTGTTGGTGCCTGGTGGGCACTTTTCTCTGATGTCTGCTTGGTCTAATTGTATATCAAAGTTCTCCTCCAGCCGCCATTATGACATAAGTTTTACGTTTTTGCGCACAAATTGGCGCATTTCTTGTACAAGAAACTGCAGCGGACACAAATTCTTGTATCGTTTCTGATATAAGAACTATACGCTTGTATGACACTATTCATTTTTTTATTATATCAGAAACGATATAAGAAATGATACAAGAAAATGCATAGTGTCATACGGCCTTTGATACTCAAAATCCCTTTTCACTAAGTGATGCTCAATTTAGGCAGCAATTCAGCCTTAATAAACAAGCTGCAAATTATTTGATAAGGATATTAGAACCATATTTGGAGGAGGGTGTTTATGCCTCTAGTAGACCCAAAATGTTTAGGATAAGTATTACTAAGCTGCAGTAAATTTAAAAATATGTTAGAATATAACCACTGTCAAAAGCCAACATAATTTCTTTTTGGTGCACAGACAATTTAGTGCCACCATCACCGACAGCCTCTGCATCCATTTTCTTTCAATTCAAAAATATAATAATTGAGAATGGCCACTAAAAATTTAACAACTCAAACAAAAAACAAAAGGCGTAACGTAAACAAAACAAACACAGCGTGCAGCCAATAAACAAGACGGCCAACCCAAATCCTAAGCAGTGTCAAAATGATAAAGTAAATATTCCCACTTTTAACTAAAATCGAAATGAATGAGAATCGCTAGCGATTACGACTGTCATGGCGTAGTCGCTTTTAAATTTCGACATCGAAATGAAATAGAATCAGGGCCCAGATCCCAAGGATATTAATTTAATCAAAAATCTATACTACGATCAAACAGCGGTCGTACGGGTGAAAGATAATCAGACAAACCAAGTAGAAATTCAAAGAGAAGTCAGACAGGGATGTGTGCTGACGCCACAATTATTTCATGTGTACTCCAACTAATATTTCATAAGGCACTATGGGAAAGAACTGAAGGTGTAAGAATTGGAGGGAGCATCATTAATAACATAAGATTTGCAGACGATACCGCCATCATGGCAGAAAATATAGACGATTTACAAATTCTTGTAGAAATCATTAACAGAGAAAGCAAAAAGATGGGACTAACAATGAATATACATAAAACCAAATTCATGGTGATTTTAACGACCTTTTTTGACAACCTAAATCTGACATTGGAGGTTAAACCGATGTTGAGGGTCGATAAGTATAAACAGAGCAATTATAAACAGTTATAATAAGATAATCAAATAAGGTCAGAATTGAATTATCTCGGAAACGAGTACAAGTCAATGTTTACAAACAAGAAATTAAGTATCAGATTGAGGTTCGTCGAACTGCTATATGGGATAGAAGCTTGGACTCTGAAAGCCAAAATCCGTAAAAAAATTGAAGGGATTCGATATGTAGCTATATAGGCTTATTCTTAAAATTCATTGGACTGCAAAAGTCTCAGACGAAGAACTGTTGAGACGAATTGGACATGGTAGAAAGCTTATGAACACAATTAAAATAAGAAAAACAGAAAAGTCATGGGAAGAAATATTGTAACGATATATTTTGCTTACCTCAGCAAAGGAGCAAACAAAATAATGATGCGTACGGCAGTCAGAGGTTGTTGGAGAGCTGGGTCGTGGATAAGTTGAAATAAATGGGTCGGATTGCGGTATCTACAAAATGAAAACAAAGGGATACTTACATAAATCTCCTGGAACAATTGTGAACAATATATGGCAGACAAGATTACCTCTAGCTATTTCTATTCGAACGCCGCTTCGAGAAAAACTTCCTGCTGGAAGAAAGAAAATTTCTTCTTTCCTAAAATCAAGAATACATACAAGGGTTAGGAGACTTTTCTAAATTAAAAATAAAAATCGTAAAATAGTTTCGAAACACAATTCAGATTTCTGCTTTATAATCTGAGCCTTTTAAAAATTGCAAGGCAAACAGACGTTGATAAAAGATGTTAAAAGAGACATGGGGAATCTAAAATTCGGATTTACTCTGTGGGATTACTAGAAGCACAATTCGCTAAGGATTTCTGCTTAGTTGTAAAAGACATGTCGTGGAATGCAAATTTTAGATTCCCGATGTCTCTTTTAACATCTTTTATCAACGTCTGTTTGCCTTGCAATTTTTAGAAGGCTCAGATTATAAAGCAAAAATCTGAATTGTGTTTCGAAACTATTTTACGATTGTTGTAATTAGATGTCGCTACTGCGTCCGTATTGAAGCCATGTTATTATTGCTTCTTAAAAAGCAGAAAATATTGATTTTTCACGTTGAGGACTCCTATGAACAGCTCTTCTGACGAGACCTATTAGGTCGAAATACGTATCAAGAGATACATAGGATTTGTTTGCGTGAAATCAAATATTTGCTGCCTTTCTTCATATTAAAAATAAAAAATTTGGATCAGAGAAGTAAATCAAACTTTTATTTTTGTCTCAAACAAACAGCTATCAAAAATACAGATTACACAAAAAACATACTATATAACCATAATACAAAATTAACAAAAACTTACGTGTTTATCTGTTTAGAAAGGAGATTGCTATAAAATTTTTCGAAATGGTTCCTAGGTTATTTATTAATATGGCCTAAATAGAGTGTATATGGCCTAACATAATATAAAACTTTAATTATTACAAATTTTTAAATTTTTAATGGTAAAATTTTTAATTTGAATGTGCAGGGCGATTCACGCAAGTCTAGCATGGTTCATAATCCTTATTTTTAATGAAACTCCCTGTATATTGTTGTTTTTAAAAGATCGATATCAATATGATCTCAACTAATTATGATATGTAGGATCTATTATGAATAATACAAGGTGAAATTTGGAAATTATGTATACCTTTTGTAAAAGAAATTAAATGCAAAACTCAATCAATATCTATTGATACTCAGTTTAGAAAATTTATGTCTGTACTTATAGCTATGTAATTTAAAAAACACTATTATTAATTATGTAATATCTTATACACACCAAATTATACAAAATTTCACCTTGTATTATTCATAGTAGACCTTATATAATATAGTTCGTTGAGATTATGTTAAGAAGATTTTAAAAACAAAAATTTACAGACTGTTTCATTAAAAATAAAAATAATGGGCTATGCTAGACTAGCGTGATTCACCCTGTACATTTAAATTTATATTTAAAGCATATTTAAATTTGTTTTTTATAATTTTGTAAAATAAGGACACAAACAATTTTATTTCATAATTGGTCTAAACACTGTATAATTTCAAAATTTTACCTTGTACTATTCATAAAATACCCTATATGATATAGTTCGTTGAGACCGGGTTGTTAAGGAGCTTTTAAAAATATAAAAAAACTAATTTTTTTTATTATTAGATAAGGAGATATACTTTTCGTTGACAAATAAAGTACTTTTCTATTTTTCCATTTTTTCGTATGGTTTGCCAAACCCAGTATTAATAATTTACTCATTTGGGTAAATTACTTCGTAAATTTTATTGCATCCCCACAACACATTTGTTCTTCCTGTAAACGTTTATATTAAGAACTAACAATACATCGACTTAATAATATAAAATTTTATACTTTTCTTATTTTTCACGTGATTATTTTGCACTTTCCGATTTTAAAACAACTGTAACCTGAATATCACAAGAAACATATTGGAACATTCACAAATGGTATAAACATGTTGAAACTAATAAGTATCTATGAGTTTTTCATAGTAATTAAGATAAGTAATTCATTATTTTTATTGTTAGTAATTTTATATTTCAAGTATTACATTTTACTTTATTATTTCCTACGCTATACTATTTTTTCACTATATCTACTTAATTAGTTTAATTTAAAAATGATGGTGCTTCTCATTTTAACCAAATCTACAGCCACAATCTAATCCAAAAATAACATTATTGCTCTGTATATTAGATCATCTTGCGTATATTTGTCTGTTTATATCGTTACATAGGAAAAATAGATAAATATAAATCAAAGGAATCGATCGTAAATATATGGAGTAAAGAAATCGTCCTGGGCAAAGACGTTACCTGTGACGTTATTCTCACAACCTATATCGGAAAGTAAAGGAACAGTTGACATTGAGACAGTAACTTGCATGTTGATTACATTGTGGCTATGGTGCTTTTTATTTTATTTTTATAATCTATTTTTAGTAAAAGAGACTTTGTGATGTATCCATGTTCCTTATAATATCTTCTACATGTATTTCTGTGTTTAAACAGTATTATCTATTCAAAAGTTTTAAGATGTCAAGTTAATATATTTTAAATTGCACGTGGCTATTTCATATTTGTTTTTTTTGCATTATTATCTATTAATTCTAAATGTTTCACCCGGTGAGACTCGAACCCGGATTTCCTTCACACCAAGGAAAGGTACTGACACGTTAACAACCGGGGCTATAGCACAGCGAATAAAAAAATTAAAGTACAGTTATACAGACATAACCGAAACCGCGTCTCCGCCAACTCGAGAATTAAAGAAACGGTGGCTTACTCCAAGTTGCAAAACTTTACGATTTTGCTTTTATGAAAATGGATACACAAAAATTACTATAAAATTTTGCCACTAAAGTTGAAAAGTCAGACTTAATTAGTAAAATTTGTTCGGGATTTCCACTTTATCAGAACTCACAACTATTACACGGGATACTTATGTTATATTATATTATATTAAAACGATATATTTCGTTGTGACCTGATCTGATCTGATTTTGATGATTTATCGAACTGATCCCCTGCCGCCGATTTATTGCACAAAAATAACCGCGTTTTCAGCTATTTATGTTTACGTATAAGCAAAATTAAACGACGTGACCCCTATGTATGCCACTATTTCGAATATGGAAAGACTGATGTATATGTTGAAACATTGAATAGATAATAAATTTAATGTGACTATTGTAAAACTATTAATTTTAAGTAGGTCTTAATTGTACGTTAGATAAATACTTTGGTGCTTTTTATAAACATATACCCAAAGCTGCGGTGCTTTTTGGAATTGTTATTAAATTTATATTTATACTTTGTTATCTTATTTACAAATAGTATATTTTGTTAACTAACATATACTTACCTATCTATTATATTTTTTAACAAATATACAGTGTATTTAAGTATACTTGGCCACAAGTTACTAAAGTGGAAGAAAATGCTAGAATTAAATACCCAATTCAGTAGTTATCAAAATGTTTAAATCAAAAACAATAAAGATGAAACA